ATTCATCTGATTTTCATGGTAATTGGCTGGTCCCTGACTATAAAGGGGGAAGCTTGGCAAGTTAGATTACTCGGAGAAAGGAGGATGCAAAAATGCGGTCTGAGTCTAAATTTACTCCGGCGTCTAGCAGCCTCTGAGCTCTCTCGCTGTGCACTGAGGTCACTGGGAAGCCGAAGAGGAGGGCACCCAGCACAGCTCTGAGTCTCTGTGGTGGGGTGTTGAAGAAGGGGACTCTAAAATAGCATGGACAAGAGCTGGTGACAGAGGTTGTGGGAGAGACGGCGCTCTTGGCACCTGAATCATCCCGTCAGTCCGTGTGTGTCTAAAATTATCCCGAGTCACTCGCGGTTGATTCATCCCTTTGGCCAAGCAGGGCCAGCAGGGTGGGGTGAACACCATGCTTGCGTTAGGAGAAACCACTATGGCTCCGGTGTCCAGGTCCTCTGGAGGCTTGACTCAGGTAGCTGTTAGCATGCTTTTACTTTCTAAATTGCACTATGATGGCATACCTCCGCAGTCACTGGGGCTTTCTGTGTCCCAACTTGTTCTCTGACAGCTGTACTAGGTCACCATTGTGTGCATGCTCTCCCCCTGCAGCCCAGGTGCTGAGACCCCAGTTGGGTCACTGTGGTTACTCCCACTTTCCCTGACATGGTTCCTTTTTTGTCTTTTATTTTGTATTGATTTTCCAGGAAGGAAAAAGAACAGGAATTAAGGGAAGGGAGAAGCATTTTAAATATTTTGCAGCATATTTCTGTTTGACCCCTTGTCATTTTGCTTATAAATGCCATCAGACTGCACCTCTGCCATTAAGAACATTAAAGGGGAACTTTCTGGAAAGCTGCAGGAGTAAAACCTTATGTTTCCCTCAAGGTTCTGCTTATTTGGAGCATTTTTTAACCTTTCAACATCATCTCTCCATGACTTACAAACATATGTTTACACGCTTTTACAAATTGTATACTTAATTTCTAAGAGAGTTATTAGCCCCTGAGTTATTTTTACATGCATTTTATTTTAATGGATGTAGTAATTCTTTTGTTTTTTATGTTATAAATGTGAGTTAAATTTTTTGCTGGTATCTGGTTTATCTTCTGAGGTAGAATTGGTCTGTTCCCTTTGTGACGTGGTGTTTTCGGGATGTGCTCATGGAGGTATCTAGGGCTGTGTTGGTTGGTGTCCTCATCACGATAGCTCAGTTCTCCTTCCTGGTGTCTATCCCTGACATCTGGAGTAGGGGTATGGACATCAGACTGAGAAACCCATGGAGTAGAGTGTCTGACCCAGGGAGGGGGAAGAGATTTGCAGTGTCAGCGCCTCTCAGATGGTCCCGGGTTGATGCACTGTTGTTCTCTACAGAGGGCGTGTTTCCTTTCTTCGTGGGTGTGGATGGGGGCTGTGTGTTCCATGTCTACAGCCCAACTGTCCCCTCCCTTGGAACTAGCAATGAAAGGGAAGCTAGGTCTAGAAGGAAAGGCGGACTGGACTGAAGGTCAACAGAGGCCTCCATACAGACCAGAGAAAGTTCTGAGGTTCTGAGTTGAGTGCCCTGAGCACTCATCACACTGGGAAAGTCTGTGTAGGCCTGCTTCTGCAAAGTCTGGGCTAGGGATGGCTTCTGCACTTGTCTGTCATCACTGGGACATGCCACCAAACCACAAGTAAAGTTGTATGAAGGTCATGGTTGCTGGGGTCTCTGTCCCCCTACCAGGTATTCCAGGCTGTGTGTCCAGTCAGCGTGGGGCATCTTCTTCCCAGCTTCTGACCTCCGCAGACACTGTCAGGTGCTTGACCAACATTAGCCAAGTTCCTGCCTGGGTATTCCTTTGGAGACCCAGTACTGAGTAGCCTGCATGTCATCCTTGCTGAGGGTGGCAGGGACTGATCTCTCTGCTGGACACAATGACTCAAGGCTTAGCTCAGTTTTCTGGGTGATGGCTCTTATGGGGACTATACATATAGATCACTGTACAGAAATACAGAAATGAAGACGCCACCCACCATGATTGTGCAAGTCACTTCTGGCCGTGGACTGGTGTGACTTCCCTGTCAGTGGAGGTCCTGGGTGGGAAGGACCATTTAGCAGTCCCTCTTTGGGAAAAACCCATGGAGCTCCTGGCATGCTATGGGCCTGCCCCTCAGCTTCTTCCTGGGCTGCACAGCGTGACATCTATATAGAGTTCTGAGTGACAGAGCTGCTGTCCAGGAGCAAAGTCTTTCCAGACACCACACTGTGGAGAAGGAACCCTCTCCCTTGGAAAATTTCGAGTTCCTTAACATTGTGTACTTGTGGCCACAAGGGGGCAATAAAGGCACAATTTCTGGAGGTGCCTCACAAGGAGCATTTTTTAGACAGACTAGCATCCTTTCTTGACTCTTCCTTAGGCAAGCCTGGCTATAAGGAGTGGCCACTTCCTCTTCTTCAGTGGGACTCTGAGCTTGAGGAGTTTCCCAAAGGTATAGGAACAGTTGTGTTCCCTGTGGGCAGCCTCCCTTTTGTGTGTGGATCTGATACTGTCTTTGATGGCAGAGAGTGTGGTGGGAGACAGCTTTGGAGACACTGTGGCTAGTGGTTTCAACTTCCCCACTGTTCACAGAAAAAACCCTGTGGTTTCTTCTGCCACTGGTCAGATGACACCCCAACTCCAGAGGCCTCACAGAGACAGGGTACTTCTAAAGTCTTCTGGGACGCCATAGGGCCTGCACCCCAAATCCAGAGGCTTTACAGAGACAGAGCACCTTCTAAGGTCTTCTGGGTTCCAATAGGTAGGGTAAGGTCTGCCGTAGGGTTTTGTGGGGGACACAGAGTGAAGGCAGTTATCTTCTTGGGGTGAGAGACTGGTGTTGTCTCCAACTCAGAGGCCCTGAGATACTATTTCAAGGTGGAGCTGCCTGTGACAGGATCTTCTATGGCTATCTGTGACTTTAGAAGAAAACTGTTTGTACTCAGTGCTTAGAATCTTCTTGTTGTTATTCCCAGACAGCAGGGGCACAACCATGCCTATGGCTTTGTAAATATTAGGGAGAACATCAGGTTTTGTAGAAAAGGGAAGCTGAGATGGGATTTCCCTTTGTTAGGAGAGACTCAGGACCATGGGCAGCCATGACCAGACCTTGACATGGGAGAATAGAGCATCAGGAGAGAGAGCATTGGTCCAGAGGCATCAGGATGAGGCCCTCGCTGGAGAAAGAGCACCTTCAAAGCCCTTAAGGGAGCTGCATCAAAAGAGACAAGCTACTACATGAAGGAAGGGCCCTTCCATCCCTAAGGACAGTGGGGTTTTCTAAGTCTCATGGGATTTCAGTGTGGGGTCCAAAGGTAAGCTCCGTATCATGTCTTAGCCTGGCCTCGTCTACATGCCAGGCACAAGAAGTCAAGAAAGCACTAGAACTAGATAAGAAGGAAGCTATAATTCAAGGTTGTCCTTGGTCCAGAGATTGGAGGCTGGACTTGTTCACAGGTGCAAGTGGAAGGGAGAGAATGAATTCCCTGTGAGGGCTGCATGGAGGCGTGTGTCCGTCTCTCCACTAACCCCTCATTGTCTTGATTCCTATGGCTTTACAGTAAGTCCTGAAGCGATAACAGTTTTCCATGTTTGTTCCTTTCTTTCAGGGTCCAGAGTGCCAGCCGTTAGACCATGAAACTAGTCTTGTTCTTTTCTTCCATATTTTACTGACCAGATCTTTTTCTTCTTTACATAAACTTTGAAAAAAAATTATTTGAAGCAACAACTTAGTTTGCAAAGACTTTGACTGAAATTGTATGGGATCTAAAGACTGGGTTGGAAATGACCGAGATTTTGATGTATGGTCTGGCTATCCATGAACAAGGAATATTTTCTATTTTCATTGGATTCCCTGTTTGTCTTTCTCATCAGGATTTTGTAGCTTTCTTTGATTAAATTTGTACCTTAATATTTCATTGAATGCCTGAGTAGCCAACCTTTTTATGTTAATGTAATTGATATTCTGTTTTAAATTTCAAATTTTATGTAGTTATTGCTAGTAATATAAGAAAGTGATTGACTTGGAATTTTTTTTATTTACTTATTGTTTTTAGGTGGTGTGTGTGTGTGTGTGTGTGTGTGTGTGTGTAAGAGGGCACGTGTCCTATGGTGCGTATGTGGAGGTCAGAGGACAGCTCTGTGGAGTTGGTTCTCTTTCTCCACCTTCGCAAGAGTTCCAGGGTTTGAACTCAGGTCACCTTTACCCACTGAGCCATCTCACTGGCCTTTTGCATATTAACTTCAGATTTTGGAAATTTACTTTAATGGTGTAAATTAAAGTAAGGTCAAGAATAGTTTTCACTGTCGGTGTTTCCATATCATAGCCATGCAGGAGTATGTAAGAAAAGGCAGTTTTGTTTTCCTTCCTAAACTACATTTTATTATATTTTCTTGTTTTTATTAGTTGGGACTCCCTTTCTGTTGTCCCAGTGAGGCCAAGGAGAGCGGGAATGAGGTAGGCAGTGTCCACAGGGCAGTGGATTGAAATTCAAAAATTGCCTCAGAGGGACAGGTAGATGAAGCACACTAAACTGACCAGCTGGTGTTACTGACCAGCTGTTGTCTGACCAGCTGTTGTTGCTTACCAGCTGTAGTCACTGACCAGCTGTAGCCGCTGCCCAGCTGTTGTTACTGACCAGCTGTAGTCGATGACCAGCTGTAGTCGATGACCAGCTGTTGTTACTGACCAGCTGTAGCCGCTGCCCAGCTGTTGTCGCTGTCCAGCTGTTGTCTGACCAGCTGTTGTTACTGACCAGCTGTTGTTACTGACCAGCTGTTGTTACTGACCAGCTGTTGTCAGTGACCAGCTGTTGTTGCTGACCAGGGTCTGTACAGAAATCATCTCTGAAGCGTGGTGAGTCCTCGGGTCCAGGAAGCCTGCTCCTCCCCTTGCCTTCCTGGGCAGAGTCAGATGTCCAGATAGTTCTACCACAATGTGTTCTTTCTTCTCTTCTCGTGACACCTGCTCAAACTCTGCTTATTTCATCCTCACAGATCCGGACGAAGGACAGGATCTTTGACAGCATCAGTCACCTCATCCACTACCATCTTGAGAGCAGCCTGCCCATCGTCTCTGCCGGGAGTGAGCTTTGCCTCCAGAAACCTGTGGAGAGGAAGCACTGACCAGGCCCAGAGCCCTCCCCATGCTGTGCGCCAGGTTAGGGGACCTGGGCTCCACTGCTCTCAGCCTATGGGAACTGGGGCAGCTGTCTGTGGGCTCATCACCCTTTCAAAATCCCCCCCGCCCAAGGAGGTTTCCTTTGAGTTCAATTTCATAAACATGTTCCACACATCTCAGATGCGTATTAGAGGTGTATATACCCACACATCCTGTACAAATGGCCCCTATATTTATATTTTTTAAGACTAAGAAAGATGTGAGATGAATGCTCTATGCTGTATGTTTTTAGTGAGAGGCAAATTTTGACTATAGTTGTTCAGGCAAAACTTTGAATTCAACTCTACTGGGAAGCTCTGCTAGAAGGTGTAGCGGCAGTTCTACATGATAAGCACAACACAATGGGAATGCAGGTGAGCTGGCAGCTCCGGGACAAGCAGACTTGTGACAGAATATGACAGCTGCCCAAACATCTGCCCCTGCCCTACAGCCCCATGTGAGTGCTGATTCCAGGCTGCAGCTCTGCCCACAGATGGAGGTGCCTCCTCCGCTTCTGGCTTGCTGGGTGCTGCCTTCCATGCCCCAGATAGATGCCATGAAAGTGGGTTTTCTGTCACATGATGACCCACTGAAGTCCCACTCCATAGCAGGTGGTACTCTGCCTCTTTTTCTGAGTTGTGTTTTAGGTCATGTTTGACCCATGTTGTTTGGGTCATGGGGACCTGTCACCTTCGACCCTGGTTGTGTATGTGTGTGGATTTGGCGCATTTATTTTAGGCCCAATATGGTACACAATAGGACTTAAGATCTGTGGTTGACAGATGCTTCCTTTGCCTTCATCAGTGTAGTGATGGAATGAAAGTCTGCGGAAGGCAGGATGTGGAATGTATTCCAGGTCTGCATGTCCTTCAAGCCAGTGTGCTCGCCACAGACTGTGCATGGAAGGTGCCTGTGAGGTGGCCTCCCACCTACCTCTTGTATTCAGTAGAACAAAGGGCATGGGTAAGAACCCTGCAAGACAGGTACGAGCTGCTGCCCAGAATTGGAGACACACCCACTGTCTGCCAACCCCCCCCCCACCCCGTTTCCGTGTGTGCTCGGCACCATGCTCCAAAGCCTTTGGTACTAGCTGGCTTGAGGGATGGTAAACCATCTCCCCTCCTCTCCACATTTTCTCAGTAGCCCAATGAAAAGTAACCACGCCCATGGCCCTTTGTCTTGACCCTCTTCCTACCAGCTCAGAAGCTGTTGATTCATGATGGGTGATTTCATGTTTCAAAGTTGGCTGTGTCTATGACTTAAAAAAAGGTGTGTGTGTGTGTGTGTGTGTGTGTGTGTGTGTGTGTGTGTGTGATCAGTCTGTGACTTAGCAAACACAGGTAGATGATGCATTTGCTGGTTGGCACCTCCTCATAAGACTACAGCCTGGCCTCTGGTCCCCATGAGATCCCATGTGTGTGGCACCCCTAGCCAGAAAACTAGGACTCTGTACATTTTAGGGTTGAATGTCATAAACTGGATATTTAAGAGGAATTGTGGGTGTGTATGGGTGGGTGGGTGGAGAGAGAGGGGGTCTAGTGTTTAAGAACACTCACTACTCTCCTAGAGAACTCAAGTTCAATTCCCAGCACCCACATGGCAGCTCACAACTGTAACTTGCATCCCGAGGTATCTATCTCTTCTGGCCTCCATAGGTACCAAGTAGGCACATGGTACATATACACACTTGCAAGCAAAAAAAAAAAAACCCATACATGTAAACATATCTTTTAAAAAGTAGTTAAGGGGAAACTTAGTCATTAGGCAAATCAGGGTTCTGCATGGCTCTGATGCTAAGCGTGTGAACCCTGCTTTTGCTGCTGTGTAGTCAGTCCGGTGCTAACAGGTGAGTCTGGGTGGAGAAGATCCCAGGCTCTGTACAAGAACACTTCTTTCCAGTTTTTACCCTTTGAGGGCCCACTGAATCTGAGTCGGCAGTAGAATATTCTAGAACTAGAATTCTGGGGAACCTGGCATTAATACTCACCATCCTACTGTGACCTGAATATGGATGAAGCCCTGGAGACAAGCAGATATAATGGTAGCCCCTGGCTCAGGCTCTTGCCCTGTTACCATACACATAGGCTTTGGGGTACTCCTAAGAGTCACCCTGCACACTGCCTCTCAGGAGGCTATGCCTTGTGCACCTCCATACAGGTCTTGCTGCTCCTGGGTATGAATATATATTACATAAAAATATTTATAATTGCCCTTTCCCCCCATTCTTGAATTCCACTTTGTGCAAGGCTGAAATGCCTGTGTTCAAGTCACCTGCAAAGTGTTCCAGACCATGAGGCACCTCCACTGTTTTATGCCCCTCTCCAGAGAAGTTAAAAAGCCGCACTCAGAAGTTCCATTTGCTTTCTCTGAAGTCAGGGTGATAGGATTTATAGGAATCCATTTAGAAAATTTAAAGTATTGGGACCAATGTTTTTCCTTTCCATTTTAATTCAAAATATGTAATTTTGATGTCAGATTACAGAACTGGACATATGTATGCTTAGGGAAGTCTTTCCGACACAGGGCAGGCTGTAGAGGGTATCCATGGCAGCCATGGTCTGACCTGTATTCCATAGGAAACATGCCAGAAGTCACACGGGCTTATCATGTCCTTCTACAAACACAGTGTATGTGATGGGACATTTCCTCAAACATCACTTACACACAGGGAAACTGAGGCTCACTTCAGGTGCCTTGGTCAGCTAACAGCAGAACCATTCTGCTCACTCGGCATTTTCTGTGCACAGCTGTCTTCTAGTCTGTGCTACAAGGCCAGAGCTTGGAACCAAACCCAAAAGAGCCTCTTCTTTGAGCCTGGGCTCCTCTTCCCTTGGTTTCCAGCCCATATCTGCCTAGGCAGGGTTACAGGCTACACAGCAGCAACTCCAGGCAGAACAGCACTGTATTGTGCATTCAGGCCTTTGACTCCCGGGCACAGTGGCTGAGTCTATACCAGGTGCGAGCATGCACTGTGTGCCTGGATCCTGTGCTCCTTCTTCGGGCATCCTGCCACGCCACCCAAAACTCTGCATCTATTATTAGTGGTGCATGCTGGAGCTCGGCAGCCTTAAGCAGTCTGTCTGCTCTTGCACAGCGGCCCTGAAGCCTCCGCCTAGTCCCTCCTTCCCACACTCTCCTGGGAGAGCTAGCTGTGCTTCAGATAACCTCTCCACACTGGCAAGGCTGGTTGGGCCTCCCATGGGGCTGCTCTTCATGGTCTAGGTTGGCTCTGAGTCTTGAACTTCTCCCCCCCACTCTAAGGTGGGCCGTCTGCTAATGCCATATTTAAATAGCTCAATCTTAAATCTACACTTATGTTCCCATATGTCCTTTTTGTATTTAAAGGACCAAGAGCTGGGTGCCTGCTCAACCTTGATGAGCAGCTTTCTATTACAGGCCATCTTGGATGGATTGATGCCAAATAGGCCACATGTGGCAACTAGGAGGTTCTCCTGGCAACAGAGGCACTTGTAAGCAAAGGCTGTGGTGAACCATGGGTGGAGGGAAAAGTCTAGATTGAAAAGGAGGAAGGGACAAGGGAGAATGAATTCCCCAAAGCCCGTAGGCTTCAGGTCACAGTTGCCAGGTGTCCAGGCTCCATGTCCACCCTGGTGTCCTGAAAATGCCCACTTTTCCAAAAGGAAGCTTTCCCCTTGGCAGCGTCAGACACCCAGGAGGCTTCCTTAGGGGAGTGGCCATAGAGTGGACACCTCGTTTCCATGTTAGAGCCAGCATCACGTCCTCTTCTTGATGGAGTAAATTGAGTAGAAACCCAACTTCGCTGTGATACTGACGCAGCAGTGGCCACATCAGCGAGCTCAGTGCCAGTACAAGCAGAACAGTGTGGCTTTGGCTGCTGGGTGGGTTCCCTGAGCTGTAGCTCCTGCCACACCCCAGGGCTTTCCTCAAAGATAACCACGTGAAGTGCATGGAAGGTGACTTCCTGGGGTTCTTCATTCAGAAGACATATTTCTCTTCTCCCCCGCAGGCCAGAGATGGCATGCCGTCTATAAATAGCTCTGTGCATGGTGACAGCCAGATTTCAAGTAGGAGGAGGCTAGAAGAAGGATTGCAAAAGAGATCACGTGCCCAGACAAATCTGTCTGATGCTAGTTCTCAGGAAACCTTTGAAGTGCTTTCCCAGAAAGTTCAGATAAACCCCACTCCTGGAACATATTACAGACCTGAAACTCTTGGCTTTGCATCGGATGATGGGCATGTTTGCAAGGCAGCTCGGCTGTCTTGGAGGGACCTTGTTTTTCAGGTGAAGCAATTGAGTCAGGAAGTGGATGGCAATGGTCAGGGCTAGATCTAGGAAAGAACCCAGGGCTTACTAAGGCCTCCTGAGACTCAGACATGTAGCTCACTCTATGGAAGCAACAAGCCGTCCATTTAGCCTCATGTTTCACGTTTCAAAACACATGAAGGACTGAGCCATGAGAAACAGGACTTATGGTTGGTGACTTTGCTGGTGTTCTCCCAAAAGGAGGCATCAGAGGGGTTCTGGGTACATATAGCTTATTTTGGAAATGATCCCAGGAGTTGGGAGGGAAGTGGTTAATAAGGAATGATTGCATTGTGGAGCATGCTTCCACAAAGTGTACACCCAGGCATCTTCCTGCTGCTGAGCCTTGGGAGCAGAACTGGACCTGAGGTAGTGGAGAGGGCCGGGAGGAGCTCCACCGCAGCCAACGCGAGTGAAAGGCTATCTCCAGCGATTTCTGCCCTGCCCAGTGTACACCCACGCACCCTCTGCAAGCTGGGACATGCTGGGGCCGAGGCTGGTGTTTACAATAAACAGTCTCAGAGCAGAAGGCAGATATTGAAGCACCAGGCTGCTTAGCCCACACAAAGATTTCAGGGCTCTGCCCCTCGAGTTCCCCACTCAGTGGGCCTAGAGTGCGGGGTGCATACTTGCATTTTTCAGCTTGAAGATGTGCCTATGCTAGGGGTCTCGGCTTTGACAGGGACTGGCGAGAGTCTCCAACCCTTCCTTGACTCTTACCAGTGGCTCCCCTGCCCCACCCCCACCTTTTTATGAAGAATTTTCCACACCATTTCGTGCCATAGATCCCAGGTCCATACTGTGAATTTAAAGATGGAGAACTAATAAATCTTGTAACCTCCTGCAAGCGTGGCTGGCAGATAAAATGCCATCTGCCCGACAAGATGCATTTATAGTGGGATTTATGCATATTTATAAGTTTGCGAGCGGCAAAGGCACTGTTTGAAAACTGGCATATCTGATAGCAGCCAGGAAAAAACACAGCTCGCAACGCAACTTTATACCAGGGTTTTCGAATGTGAACTGCGCATGCGTGTTATACACAGACTCAAAATTCCCTCGATTCAGATGGCATGTGCGCCTCCAGCTCAACCCTGTACTGGGTGTCCTGAGCCTCTGGGCTTTTCTAATGCGCACAACTGTAAATCAAAATGGCATCAAGAGCTTCGGGATTAATGGGCTCTCAGCAGACCCAGGGAACAAGGTTCTGGGTGCTGTGGAATTGTGAGACTGTGGCGCACAAAGGAGAAGAATGGGTTGCAAGGAGAGTGAGGGAGGCATGTCAGTCACTGTGGGCCAAGGCAGAGGGAGAGCCAGCCAGCTATAGCCATGCATGTCTGTAATCCCAGCGTTTGCGCGGTAGAGGCTGGAGGATCGGGAGTTCAGGGCCAACCAGGGCTATATCAGGCCATGTCAACAGAGGGTGGGGAGCAGTCAGCAGAAGTAAGGAAGAGGCAGATGTTAGATTGGAAAAAGAGAGAGGAGCAGATGAAACACCTGCAGACCCACATCTTTCCTGGCTCCAGCGCTGCTCAGGCACAGCCAGACTTGGCTTCCCAGCCTTCCTGGCCACCTTTGTATATTGTGTCCTATGTAACAGGCCCTGGAGGAACTCTTGGGACAGAGAAGGAAACAGGTGGAGCTGCCCGTTTATAATTTAATAGGAACCCCACCTCTAACACACCCAGCGGGGAGTGTCAGAGTGCCGAGGCCTTTCAGTGCTGGTGTCCCTAGATCCAGTTAGGGTCAGGACTGAGCTGGGGGCTCTGAAGGCTTTGCACAGTAGGTGGCGCTGTGGAGCCTGCGAAGCAGAAAAGGGTGCAGAAGGTCAAGATGGAACCCTGCGTGGAAACTGCTGATGTCAGCAGGATGTCACGGGCAGGCTGAGAGCCTGCTTTTCCTCTCAGATGCCCTGGGTAAGTGAATCCCTGAGACTCCCCCAAAACACACTTATGATTCTTGTCTTAGGGTGAAAGAGAGAAACCGTGGGAAATGAACAGCTTTATTACCCATCGTGCATAGAGAACCATCCTGTGGAGTGAACCTTCCAAGGTACCAGTGAACACTGTACCCCGGTTCACACTTCACCCACAACACTTTCCCACAACCAAAGCCACTAACATTGGAGTCAAGTGACAGCTCACAAGGCAGGGAAGAGTGGACTAACCAGGCTTGGGCAAGGAGTTTCTTCTTCTTCTTCTTTTTTTTTTTTTTTTTTTAACACTATGTGTGAGTTGCCAAATTGACTGTTCTCTGTTCAACAACTTTTGGATACAACTTGTTTCAGAGGATTGTAAAATTATGTGCGTTTCTTTGTATTCAGAATTAAACATTTGATGTTTAAAGACCCCGGATTAAGGAGACAGCTCAGCATAAATGTATTGTATAACAAGGTATTTAATAGTTTTTCAAAATCATTTGGATGGCCATACATATTGATATATGAATATTTGGAATTATTCTGTTTCTGTTAACCTCTGTGAGACACAGTTACTGTAACAGTGATCTGTCTGGGCTTATGGCCAGCCCACATCCTTCTACTTCAATACCGGCATGGAATTGACTTCCTAAGTCACCTGTGAGGAGCAGAAATATAATACCAATTTCAAGTTTTCTAATACTTTTCTATGATAAAACTTAGGTGATTCGGTGAACATTTGGAGATCCCAAGATACAACAAGCAAAGGTAATTGGTTTGAACTGCCTTACCTCTAGGGGCTCCATCCTGCTCTTTTGGGGACTGGTGTCTCATGCCCTTCACCATGGGCCTGGCACACCACACCGAAGCTTCTGGGATAACCAAGTGGACTCAGTGTATAGCATCCCCTCCTCGTGGCCCAGGTATGGCAGGAGGCAGGCCGACTACTCTAGACAATGCTGTTCTTCTTGTTATCACTAGGTCCTGGGATATGTGCCTTCATCATCTGGACAGCCATCCATGCATTTCGGTTTCCATAGCAGCCCCCCTGAACCTCTGACCTAGACACTGAAATCATTTGGGTGATGAAGTTTGCACTTGTCCATACAGTTTCCAAAGCATGGAGCCAGTGATGTAATTATACATTTTCTATAAAACGCAACCTTGTTCCATTTCTGTGAACGGCTCTTTCCCAGCACAGAATAACCACGGCTCAAAGATTGAGAGAAGCAACCATTTTTAAATAGTTAATTGTTCCAGTGACTATAGGTGTGAGTCTGTTGGCAATAAAGGCTACTGTGAAAAGTGTCTCTTGTTTGCATGACAGAACTTACATGTTTGTATGACGGTGCCGTACATGCCTGTGTAGAAGTTGGAGGACAGCCTGTGGGAGTCAGTTCTCTCCTGGTATGTGGGTCCTGGGCATCTAACTCAGGCCATCAGTTTGGTGGCAAGACAACTCCCCGGCCCTGGATCTTGTAATGCTTCATAGAAGACAAGAGGATAGATTGGAAGTTTTCTCTAGAAAGCGGGTGTTTTGCTTTTCCTCAGAAGAAAAAAGGAAGACTTGGCAGAAACACTTCCAAAGACTCCCACCAGCATTGTGAGCTGGAATACAGATGGTTTTGGGCAGGTCAGAGCTCACCGTGGGAACTTTGCCCTGAGGACTTTTAACTACAGGTTAAAACAATTGTACTCAATAGAGCATTGGGCCAAACATGGATCCTCTTCGTGTAGGATTCAGGTTAGAGGTTGAAAGTTAGAACTTGTGAGGCAGAGAACCAGTACCAAGGGCTGGCACTGACTTGCTTACCTGTCTTGCATAGCACGGACAAAGGCCGCCCAGTCTAATGCCCTCTGCTTGGACAATGCTTTTATTTTATAATTTCTCCCCTTTAAAGGGGCTATTACCGTTCTCCAAAACATGGGACCTAGGCTGGGAAATGGTTCCATGGGGATGCCTTGTGCCTATGTAAAAGCCACACTTGGCAGTTTGTGTCTATAATCCCAGCAGGAGGAAGGCAGATCCCAAGGGCTTGCTGGCCGGTTGATCTAACCAAACAGGCAGCTTCGGGTTCAGTGAGGGACTCCGTTTCAAAAAATGAGGTGCAGAGCAACAGACAACACCCAACCTCAACCTCTGGCCTCTGCTCCTGCATGCACAATAACACACATGTGCACACACATGCACACACCACAGACACACGCGCTCACCACCACCACTGCCAACAGCAGTAAAACATACTGGCGCCAGTAGCACCCAGTACACTAAAGCTTCATTCAAACATCTTCTACAAGATGGGGCTGGATATAGTGACTGGGTTTCTAAATGTGGTTTATTCCTGAAATGATGGGAGACCAGGTACCAAGGGAGAAGCCAGACAGCCCCCTTACACTCCCGAATGTCTATTGTGAAACAGTAACAATGTGCCACACAGACCCCAAGAATGGGTTTTATATGAAGTCTCTTATTTATTATTAATAAACATAAACTGCAAGTAGTAAAGGTTGCTCACAGCCCTGGGTGGGCCCCAAGTTCTCTGGTGTCAGGCACTTGTTTCCGACTGGCAGGGTGAGGGCTTGGGCAGACTCAGCGTCTGAATGCCGGTGGCTGCTGGCAAAAGCAGTGCACACCTGCATCACAGGTGACCCGATCAGCTTTGGGTATATCAAGTGAACACAGCTGGGGTTTAGTGTATTTTCGATTTCAATCACTGCAAAATCTATCATGCTACAAATGATGCTGCCTCCCAGTGGGGGCGGTGGGCGTGGCTCCCTCCAGGGGCTGATGAATGAAAACAAACCTAGGCGGACATCACAAGTCAGGGTCGTGGGAAATGTTATTAATATGAGTGACCCAGGTGCACGGCCTCAAAACATTCCAATTATGAAAGAACATGTCCTCAAGCCCTTTGTTTCCACCTCACCTCGCCCCCCCCCCCGTCTGTTTTCTTGGTGTTTTTGTTTTGTTTTGTTTGTTTGTTTTGTTTTGTTTTGTTTCCTTAACCCAGAACCTTCGCACTTTACCAGAGATGCCTTGGGTTTTGTCAACACAGTGTGACAAGAGAATAAGTTATTTTTTTCAGTGATGTAGAAAAGAGAGCAGAGCAACGCCCCAGCAGAACATCTTCTCGGCAGTACGCTATAGCCACTGGGAATGACATGAAGGAAACTCTCTTGTCAGTCAGCCCATGGTTACCTAGGATCCATAAAAAAAGTTCTTAAGGAAGAGCAAATGCCATCAGGTAACCATCCAGAGTAAAATCAGCATTTGAAAGGTCCCTGGTATGTAATGGCAGGGTTCGTAAGGCAATGGTCTCTGAGGCTGATCAACTCATGGGGTGCTCTGACATGAGGGTCCCCCAAGTGAGAGTCCTTTTGAAGGCTTCTCTGGGAGCATGGGTGCTGGCGAGACCCCCAGATGCTTTTCATCTGTGTGTCCTGTGGCTGGGGCCTTTGGAGAGGTCAGTTCAGAGGTACCCTCTGAGTACTTCCTTTACATGGAGGGCAAAGGAATGCAGGTCCAGGTGATGCGAGCATCCATTGTACAGGAACACGATGGTTCTCTGAGGGAAACACAAATGGCCACTGCCCACCTCCCAGCCTGGCAGAGTCCTCTCACGGAACGGTCCTGTTCAGGGCATGTGTGGCGGGAGTTGAGAAGCTTTGCTGACAGCTCCGGCTCCTTGCCAGTGACAGCAGACGGAATGTTTGTATCCAGCTTTTCTATGTAGAATCAAACAGCATCACACAGCTGAAGTGCTGGCTTGCAAACCGTACTGTAGCAAACTGACTCCAGTCCCTTGGAACGGTGACCCACAGTGGAGAGCGCTTTGCCTCCCCTTATGGGCTTGCTCTTTAGTGGTCTACCGTGGTTCTGAAAGATTCTGGCTGGCTTTTCAGTGGTTTTCAGAAATACCCAAATTATCACATAATTTGGCTTTCACGTGTGCTTAAGCTTATGCATGGGACTCAAGAGAGAGGGACCCACATATCTGGGCATCTCTTGGGTGAGGCTTCTGAGAATACAGAGCTTTAATAACGTTTTACTGCTATGCGCAAGAATACCAGTGCAAGAGGACTGGATGGGGCACATCTCCTTTGCACTTGGTGGTGACCTTGAACCTGATACAGCAGTGGGGGCTGGTTTGGAGAGACGGTTACATAATGTGTGGAGGACTGATACTTCCTGCGGGTTCCACCTGGGAAAACCTGGTGTGCACATCCTACGCCACACAGGAACGGACAAACACATACATGAGCACCCATTCTATGAAAGAAAGAAATGTAGTGTGAAAAGAACGAAACATCATCCCAAGGTGCACTGTGCACAGCACATCCCCACCTGCCCTCTCCCCACACCGGGGAAAGCGGCAGCCAGAGGCAGTGGATGACATCAGCAGCTTGGTACATTCGGAGGGATGGAGCCTGCAACAGATAAGGCACATCCAAGTCAAGGCGGAAATGTTGATTCCTTGGGTCCCCCTCCTCAGGAGGTGCCCACACTGTGCCCACACCAAGCAGACCTCCAATGTCAAGGTCTCTGAGAGCCCATGTGGGTAATGCATGCAATAAATAAGTGTGGCTGCAGAGCTGGCCCTCTAGAGACCATCACTTGCAGAGGACCCCGTTTTGAAGTGGTCTGTTTTTGTCAGCGGTGCAGGAAGAGGTGGCGACGTGGGGCAGGTCTTCCTTGACCTTGGGAGAATGGCTACTGTTGTTACTGGAGCTTGATTTACTTCTGCTTGGGTCAAGAGCAGGCTGCATGGGTGAGGCCTGGGTCCCCTTGCCCCTGACTAGACAGCCACACACCAGCCGGAAGAAGGCACGCCGCATCTCTTTGCTGGCCAGAGTGTAGATGACAGGGTTCATGGCAGAGTTGAGGACAGCCAGCATGATGAACCACTGACTCTTGAACAGGATGGAACACTCCTTCACCTTGCAGGCCACGTCAATGAGGAAGAGGATGAAAAGGGGCGACCAGCACGCGATGAACACACTCACCACTATCACTACAGTCCGGAGCAGGGCCATGGATCTCTCGGAGTTATGGTTGGCCACCCTTCGGCTGCTGGACTTGACCAGGAAGTAGATGCGCGCATACAGGATGACGATGGTCACTAGGATGGCTGTGAAGATGCTGATGAGGAAGGCGATGTACTTCTTGGAGTAGAGGGGCAAGATGGTGGAGCAATCAGAAAAGTTCTCCAAGCAGTTCCAGCCCAGGATGGGCAGGGCGCCCAGTGAGAAGGCAATCAGCCAGCACATCCCAATCAGAAGGAACACGCGGTGCTTCTTGTTAGCGTCATAGGGCCTCATTTTGATCATGGTCAGGTGCCGCTCAATGGCAATGGCCAATAAACTGCAGGTGGACGCGCCGAGGGCTACAAACATACTGCCCTCCCTGAGGAACCACACGGTCGGAGACAGGCTGAACGTCTTCCTACCGGACATCAGAATGTTAACTTTGTAGGCGATGCCGGCCAGCAGGTCGCAGAGAGCCAAGTTGCCAATGAAAAAGTACATGCGGTTGTGAAATTTATTGTTTTTCCAGATGGCAATCAAAACCATGAGGTTCTCCAAGACAATGAAACTACAGGTGACCAAGAAGAGGATGGTAGTGGTGTGGGTACCACCGTCAGGGGGGTCCTGCCTGCCTTCCAGTTTCCCCACGTAATCGTAATGTTTCCGGAGAGTATCATTCCCCAAGATGGGCTGGTGACTCTGCGCATGCGTTGCCATGACTTCCTCTAGACAGATGGTTATCTCAACAGTCCACGAGAGGGCGCTCCAGGAACGTTCATTTCAGGAAACAATTGGGACAGTGGTGGTGGTGGATTCCGGAAGCGCTGCAGACCTGGATCCATCAAGAATGTAGAAAACAGGCTCTGTAAAGAGATGAAAGTGGAGGAAACCTTGGATCAAGTGATCGCCATTAACTGACCCTCCGTGTGGAAAACGCCAACACTTTGGAAGGATGTGCAGAGAGGGCTCGGAACACAGGCCAAGTTTCCAAGATAGAGATGGGGAAAGCTGTTAGGGGTCCCTAGCTGTCAGAAGAAACCTTGATGTGATGTGTCAATCTGAGAACCAGGAAAGCAAGGCAGAAGAAGCGAGCAAGCTTCCGTCTGGAAACCTCCAAGCACCAGGAAATACTGAGTGAGTTCTCACCCACCATGTGGGAACTGGTAAACCACTACTCCCAGCTGCAGAGGAATGGGATTTTTCTCAAGATGAGAAAAAGGGAGGGGAGGAGAGAAAGGGAAGGAAGGACAGAGGGGAGGATAAGAGGTAGAAAAGGAGGGGTAGAGAAAAACAGGACACAGTAGGGGGAATGGTGTCTGGGGTTCTGAGTCCTCCCTGAGGGGTTTTGGAGTGACACCATGGGGAGCACCCCTTATTTCTTAGATCAGTTCCCTTGAGGTCTGTATGGGCCTTTGGCCCACCTGGCAGAGAGCCTTATGGCCTGACCATACAGACAGGGCAGGAAGAGCAGCCTGAGGCTGAGCAAGAACCCTGAGGCCACTGCACTGAGCAGAACCCCGAGAGGAAGCACTGCAAACTGTCCTGGAAGCAGCTGCCACTGAGGTTAAAGGAAGAAGGGGAGAGGGAGGGAAATTACATGAACTTTGAGTGTGGCTTGAAAGGCAGAGGTCTGGGCTGGGAGTATTAATTAGCATCTTTAGAAGGCCTGTGGATTGAAAGAACACACATAGGATTGTTGTAAAGGCCTTGACTGCAAGCACCAAGCCCTGAAGAAATTGTGGGTGTGGGTGTGTGTGTTGCAAATGCATGCACATGTGTGCTCATGCATGTGTGTGTCACTGAACCTGGAGCTCACGCATGCAGCCATGTTGGCTGACCACTGAGCTCCAGGGATGCTCCTTTCCACGTGGGTGCTGGGGGGCCTGACCTCAAGTTCTTATTCAGGCTCACATAGCAAGCCCTTCCCTAACAGACACTTCCCAGTCCTGTTCATGGGTCCCCGGATGCATTAACCCGGCTCGTGACACATCTCCGTCCGACTCCGCGGTTCTGAGGCTCAGCAGATCGGCTGTGAAGGCTTGGTTTCCACAGATTTACCATCATTTTTATTTGTGGTTGGCACACATAATTGTGTGTCTTTGTGGGTGCAGTGTGGCAATACGTGTATACCACGGGGCACGGTCAAAGCAGAGCCCTTAGCATTCTCCCCTCCTTAAACATTTGTGAGTTTGAGACTCCTGTCTTTGAATTCTTTATTGTTCTGAACCCAAGCCAACTCACTAGAACTCTAGAACGGATTCCTCTATCCAGCTGTGTGTAACCTCTTTCTGTTCCTCCCACCCCCTTTCTAGACTCACTTAGTTTAAATTAACCTAATGAGGTGCAAGTGGGGTGACTTGAACACAGCCCACTTTTTGTACACAGTGAGGGTTTATTCACAGCGTTTAAGCTCCAGCCCTAAATGTGGCTCCTACATACAAGGACCAACATGTCCGGTCCTCGCCCCCCACCAGGAGTTTCTTCCACAGGTCTGCGGAGACTTTAATCCCTAAAGGGTACCAATGGTTCCTCCATGCGGGGTGCTGGGGGGCTGAGAAGAAAAGGTAACTCCAGAGGGGCTCTGCACCCTGTGATCCCTCCAGGAGCAGCAGGTACTGCATAAGCCTTTCCTTCCTCTGTCACTTGGAAGGCCTTAGAGTTGGTGACATTGGGACAAAGAGGCCCATGGTTTCTCGGCAGAGACATCTAGCTTCCTGGCCCTCAGAGACACATGTTATTCTGGAATCCCCACGAACTGTCTGAGTTCGTGTCTACATTCTACCTGGAATGGCTCTTGGGCCAGTCCAGCTGAGAGCTGCCTGGGATCACAGGGGGCATGGGTCAAGCTCAGCTTGACGGCCACCTGCTGGCTAGCAGAATGCTTTAGGCTGTCTTCGTTCAAACTCAAAGAGCAGCTCTGAGGATGAGACAGAGAGGGCTCATCTGTCAGGGCCCCTGTCACCCATTGAGACCTCCTCTCACCAGCCAGGTTCCCCACTGGGCTTTGAAATGTTCTCCCTGAGGCATGTAGGACAATTCTGCAAGTCCCTTTCTATTCTTAGCCATGCTCCTGCTGGTGCTGCTGCTGGTGGTGGTGGTGGTGGTTCTCCTCCTCCTTTTATGACGGTGGGTATCATATAACCTAGCCTGACCTAGAAGTTGCTATGGTGACCTTGAACTTCTGAATCCCCCGCCCCCCCCCACCTCTGCCTCCCAAGTGCTGAGATTACCACACTCAGTTTTATGCAGTGCTGGGGTTTGAACTCAGAGCCTTTTGAATGCTAAGTGAACACTCACCCCAACCCACCCCTCTAGATTTTTATTTAAGTCTTGTCTGTCTGCCTGTCTATCTGTCTGTCTGTCTGTCACATCCTACTAATCTTTTGGCATCTTCAAGGGTCAGGGCAGCCCCCATGCCCTTTCGTCCTGGCTGCCGTCACTTTAAGAAAAATCTTGCAAGCTCTCATTTGAAGACGAGAAATTCTAAGCAGCCACAATTTTCTGAGATGCAGCAGCATACCCGACAAAAGCCACTTCTGAAAAGAAGGGTTTATCTGGCTCGCAGTTCAAGGGTGCGGTCCACTGTGGTGGGGCAGGCCTGGCAGTCAC